ACTCCTCAACGTATTCGATGGGGTTTAAATCTGTAATTCAAGCAATGGTTTAGAGCACGAAGCAAAACACTTCTTTGCTTTCTAGGAAACGTGGGTCCTGGCATTGTCCTGTTGACAGATAAACTTATTTTCGAAGTTATCATCCAACATCTTTCGATGGTAGGAAAACCCACGCCATATAAAAGATCCACCCTTGAAATTGCAGCTAATTCTAGGGGGGTTATTTTCGCGCAAATCATACCAGTAATAACTGAACCCATCAGATCGGTCTAAATATTTATTTTTTGTCAGAAAAAATCACATCTTGCCAGCTATCGATCCAGCTCATATGCTCCTTCGCAAATTAAATGTGCATTCGTTATGTATATGGTTAAGATGTGGGTTTTTCGATGGATTTTTCCACTTTATGTTACTGTCTGCAGCTAAAATATTTAGAACTCTTTGTTGACTATTAACTTGCCTGCGTGTTATCTTGGTATTTCGCCTTGATTTAACGTTAGTGTTTTACTGTGGCTGATACATAGATAGGACTACTAATAGCACCTATATGATTTGTATTATTCTTCTTCTTCTTTATTGGAGTAGACACCGCTTACGCGATTATAGTCATTTCTTCTTTCTTCGTCGAGAGAACTTTACTTCTCATTTGCCTACTCAGTCCGAAGTAGCATATGTTGGCAAGAGTTATCCTGTGTTGGATTTTTAGGCTGACATTGTTGCTAGTGTTTATGCTGGTTCCCAAATATACGAAACCATCTACAACTTCAAAGTTAGTCAGTTTGCGCAGTCGTATTAGTTTTGCGACGATATCAAATTCAGACATTGCAAAATAAACACGACAAAAATCGACGAAGAGGGGGTGTGTCGATTCCTCTTTTACCGGTATTTTCCAATATTTGGAACATGGTGAATATCTGGTGTGTTGTTGATTTGCCAGATCTAAAGCCACATTGATAAGGCCTAATCAGTTCGGTGACGGTGGACTTTAACCTTTCACACAATACGCTCGATAGACTCCAGATTGTGGGGTCTCACTTTTTGTGGATTGGGCAGAGCACATTTAAATTCCAATCTTTGAGCATGCTTTCGTCCGAGTCTCCTGTCGGCCAGCTTTATACTCACGCATTTCGGCCTCTCTCTTTTTCTGTCTGTAAATGCGGTATCCGGTATACTCTATCGCTCCTTTATATGGACACTGTAGTAAATGCCACAAGGACCTACTCGCCTCTGTCCTTGTCTCGTTCATCGCATTTTTTGGACGACAGGGATGTCAGAAATCACTCTAATGAGGACGTCAACCAGCTGGGCAGCGGTACCTTCCCAATTAAGGGACCCGACGTTCCAGGTGCATGCTCTCAAATCGTAGTCCTTTTTTCGTTGCCATGGTCGTCATTAAAAGGGGAGTCTCACATCCGAGGCAGTTAGTGATCTTCCAATGGGGGCGCTTTTTACGTGGCGGATCCCAAACCCAGCGCACAACCCCGTGAATTGGGTGTTTTGGCTTCTGACTTTAGCCCGCTTTCAAACGGATGTTCTTTTTCTACCCAGAGGATACTTGGTCAAAGACCGGAAGTCGTGAGCTGCTTTATGTAAAAGAATCGTTTCTAGCCACTCCCAAGTGAATGGCGATCAGAAACTTTCCTCACTTGTGTGAACTCCTACACATGACTCCATCCTCCTTTCTATTTGTTAGATTATAACTTATAGTTAAGGAGATATGTATAACATTTTTGGTGAAGCACCCTGTTAGTTTACAAAAAAATAAATCAGGAAGCATTTCGTGCGTTAATAAAGCATTGGTTTTTGTGGGGAAAATACTGTTGAATTTGGGCTGTGCACCTATTAAATCAACCGGAATCGACAGTCAGGCTAGTGGACTGCATATTAGACAATCTCGGTTCTCAAGCGTGGAAAGACAAAAAAAAAAATCGGCTGGCACGGTTAGGGGCATCAGTCTTTTGGGATGCACGTGGTATATTATTTATCGAATGACTACTGAGCCAGTTTTAGTCTATTATACTGTGTTATGCAGATCTATTCTACCATTCCCAATATTTAGCAGCTTTAATATTTTTTATTAAGGATCAGTTTGAAATTGTTCGCATATACTTCATCGTTGCCGTTTAAATATTGCACTGCTCTGTGCAATGCTTTGAAAATATTTCTGTATATCTGTATTATAATAGACCTTTATATCAACACGCCAGTTGTTCCGCTATATTTATGCTAGATATCGCGTTTGGTTTGTTATTAATGCAATGCCATTTTTTGTTGTGATATTAAATAATTATGTATATCTGAAATGTTCGTTTTCAAAAAAATGCCTGGTTCAGAAGCAAAATCAGCATAACACATACACTAAGCATGTATGGATATGAAAATTTTTACATTATTCTTTCTATTTTTGACTTACTAAAATTTTCAAATGATGCTGACATGAATTTTGAACAAAAGCTTATGATTTGGAATATAATTTTTGTATTTATGAATTGAATTAAATTTTTACATAAAGAGATAAAAAAAAAGTATCCTGTGTCCTTACCCTGGCTCTAAGCTACCTCCCCACCAATTTTCTGCCAAATCAACTCAGCCGTTCTTGAGTTGTAAATGGTGTAACTAACACGACTTTATTTTAGATATTAAGTATACACTGGTCAAAGAAAGTATTCGACATATGTATTTATTCATATTTTTGAAATATTTCTTAATTTAAATACATAAAGAACCAAAAAATTATGTTTTTTAAAGCAAACATTTTGATAGTCTGTAAGTTAATGAGTTTTGTGATAATCACAACAACAAAATTAAATAAAAAACGCACCAAAACTAAATTAACCTGAAAATGAAAGCAAAAAAAAAAAATATTCGACAATTACGCAGAAGAATGAATTCCAATGATTAACGGTTAAGTTACGATCGGTTTGACTATTTTCTTTAACACTGTTATGCAGCATTCAATTTAGAAGCAATATTTAAAGTAAATAAGTGAAATGGTAAACATGGGTCTCAAAAAAAAGAAGTGTCTGAAGAAATCAAAAATCTGATCGTTACACATTTTAAAAGTGGATTAACCGAAACTAAAATAGCCGAACTATTTGATAGGCCGCGAGCACCCGTCTATTGTATTATAAAAAAATGGAAAGATAAAAAATCGGTCGAAAACCATCCAAGGCGCGGTCGCCCAACAGCCTTAACCAAAGCAGACGAACGTTGGTTGGTTCGCCAGGTCAAGAAAGAACCAAAATTGATTAAGAAAACCTAAATATAGATGTGATACACCAGACCATTCGAAATTATTTGAAAATCAATGACTACAGGGAAGAGTTGCGCGCAAAAAGCCATATATCTGTAAAAAAAAATAGATTGGAAAGATTAAGGTTTGCAAAAGCGTACATAAACAAGCCCGTTGAATTTTGGAATAAGGTGATATTTGCAGATGAAAGAAAATTCAATCTTTTTGGATGTGATGGTAAAGTTATTGTGTACAGGAAACACAATCCAGAATTGGAAGAGCGAAATACTGTGGCACCATGGAGATGATTTAGGGGTGTATGTCGGCAGCAGGAGTTGGAAAAATGGAGCCAATTTGCCAAATTATGGACCGCATGCAATACATTGACATTTTGAAGAGAAACTTATGAACTAGTGCAGAAAATCTCGGAATCGGAGCGACTTTTCAATTTTACCAAGATAATGGCCCAAAGCATTCCGCACTAAATAAATACAAAGCTTTGGCTTTTATACAATTGCCCTGTAGTAATTAAAACTCCTGCTCAAAGTCCAGGTTTAAATAGATACTCTATGGGATCACATAGAAAGAAAACTGAGACAGCACCATTTCACGAACAAAACCCAAATGGAACCGATACTAATAGAAGAGTGCTACCCATAGAAACATCCATAACAAGAAAGTTGGTCGAATCAATACCAAGACGTTTAAAAGAAGTAGTCCGAAGTAAAGCAAGAGCTACGCGTTATTAAAAAGTAATTTTTTGTTTTCAAACTTGGATTTACATGAATTTTTGAATTTTGAATATTTTTTTTGCTTTTATTTTTGGAGTAATTCAGTTTTTGGGTGTTTTTTAGTGTTGTAATTTTTATTACCATAAAACTCATTACTTGGCAAACTAAATAAATTATTGCTTTCAAAAACACTGTATTTGGTCTTTTATTTGTTTATACAGTGTAATCCATTTATAATGGACTCGCTTAAGATAGAAACTCTGTTATTATGTACCCCAGTTCAAACATATCAAGTCAAGTCCCAGTTCAAACATATGTAAAAAACTCGGTTAAAATAGACTCGGTTATAATGGACTCCGGTTAAAATAGACAATAAAATCGGATTTTGTCCATTATAACCGAAGCTTTGAATGGGCAATAAGCAAAATTTTGTACTTCCCCGAATTCGATCAAGAGACACAATCAGTCTCTGATTTTAAGTCAAAGAAGGCAAACCACTTCTGCGGTGAAAGTGACGTTCGTTGGCTCTTCATTGAGAGTTGTTAATTTTAAGAAAAATGTCGGAAAAAAATTAAAAGCGAGCATTTACATTGCATGAAAAATATACAATAATATGCGAAATTGAAGGAGGAACTTCCCAAGCTGACATTTGCTTGAACAAAAACCTAAAAAACAGACTGTTTCGAACATATGGATAAATCGGGAAAAAATTAAAAATGATTGGAAAGTCAACGACAAGAGAAAAAAAAATAAGATTTGCGACACATCCTCAAGTTGATGAATTCTTGTTTAAATGGTTTTAGCAGAAAAGGGCCAATAATTTTCCAGTAAGTGGTCCAATGCTAATGATGAAAGCCAATGAATTTGGAGAAGCTGTCGGTGATAATTTTAAATGCAGTTCAGGATGGCTAGACAGATTTAAAAAGAGGCATATTATTTGCTTCGGCAAAATTTGTGGTGAATCAGCTTCTGGGGACCAAAGTGTTACAAATGACTGGCTATTACAAACCTGGCCTACAATAAGTAACAATTATTCCATGGGCAACATTTTTAACGCGGACGAAACGGGAACTTTCTATAAGATGCTGCCTGACAAAACACATAAGATCAAAGGTGAAACATGCAGTGGTGGAAAAATGTCTAAAGAAAGAATAACGGCCATGATTTGTGCTAATGCATCGGGCACGGTAAAACAGAAATTATTGGTTATTGGTAAGTTTTAAATAAAATTTAATACAATCCGCTGTTTCTGAACAATGTCTGCTTTCAGGAAAATATAACAATCCCAGATGCTTTAAAAACGTTAAAACGTTGCCGGTAGATTATTGTGCTAACAACAAATCCTGGATGACTTCTCAGACCTTTACTGACTATTTAAAGAAATGGGATTGTGAACTAATAAAAGCCAATAGTAAAATTTTGCTATTAGTAGATAATTGCCCTGCTCATCCACAAGTTCATCTTCATAACATTAAACTACATTTTCTTCCGCCTAATACTACATCGGCTCTTCAGCCTATGGATCAAGGCGTCATTAATAGCTTGAAACAATCTTATAGAAAACAGCTTCTGATGAAAACTATGGACTTTCCTGAAGAAGCAAATCCGACAAAAGCTGTGAGTCTTTTAGATCCTGTCAATATGTTAAGTGTTGCATGGGAAAGTGTCTCTAAGGAAACCATAAGAAAATGTTTTCGTCATGCTGGTCTGGTAAAAGACAATCCTGATGGATTAGATTTCGACCCGGAGGACGATGAACCTTTAAGCAAAACGTAGTAACGTAGTGGTTTTAAACAAGTTTGATGAATATTCAAGGATTGACGAGAATACTATAATATATATATAATTCAAGACTTTCTGCATGAGCTGCTTGAAGAAGAATCCGGTGATGAAAATTTAGCACAGCCCGAAACTATAATAAAAATAGAAGACGCTATGAATTATTCTAGGAAACTGAAGCAGATGCAATCAATTTGCTCAATAAACTCAAAATCAAACTACAAAAAGAAAATCCCTGACTTTTTTCAAAAGACTTAATTAAACTTATTACTTTCTTAATTTTGTATTTTTATTCATAAACTTTATTGCTTTAATAAAAAAACACATTGAATTTACTTTTTGAGTTAAAAATTTTATATTCTGATTAGATGGACACTCGGTTACAATTGACAATTTGACATGGTCCCGTAGAGTCCATTATAACCGGATTACACTGTATATGGAATATTTTAAAAATATATAAAAAAAATGCATATGTCGAATACTTTTTTTGACAAGTGTATATAGAAATTTGGTTTTTT